TAGATAGTGAATGTATCTGGTCTCATGAGTAGATCTGACGTTTTACAGAATGTATCTGACCTCATCTAAGTCTAGATGTCGTAAAAGCAAAACTTGCATGTTGTTGCCCACGTACACAGGATTATCTGTTTATCCTTCGAATTTTCATGTTGTAATAACATATATGTATGTATACCTTTTATATAAACTGTGGGATGGTGGGATAATGATTCAGGCTATTTTCAACATAAATGAATTTATATGTGCATTGTCGAATCATACTTTATTCTGGATTATTGATCGACTCTCATGTGACAGCTGTCGGGACAGGGACGCGGTGCGTCTTGGCTGCGGAATTCATCACCTATGCCATCAACATTATCAATCTATTGCAGCCGCCGCCGTCTGTGTCGAAGGGTGTCCAACATTTCCTCATTGTACACATCTGTATCACCCAGATATTCATTGACAATGTCCCTTTTGTGCTCAAGGACACTATTGCAATCAGACTTGCTTTCGTTTATACTTTACATGCATGCAAACAATAGCGCAGCAAACTGGCGACATGCGCCACCCAAAACTCAGAGATATGGCAACCCAGATTCGAGTTCACTTTCAATGGCTATGGCAACTCAGCGCCCAAACAACTCCCTGTTCGCATACACTGGATCACCCAAGATATCCCACACGTGTAACTCTGCACTCACACACACACACACACACGCTACACACTAACTCTAGCAATGGCGGCTATGGTCGCTACTACCCTATCGCTATGCTACGGCCCTTCTCTCTCGCCCACTTCGGCTTCGGGCTCACTGCAGACCTCGTTGCACAAGTCGTTGCACAAGTACTTATTGGACCGGACTGGGACTGACTGGACCTTACCGCTGACTGCATGGGGACTCACCGCTAACCTACTGGGGCCGTACTGCAATCGTACTGGAGTTAGTCCACCACTGGGTTCCCCACTTGCCCGACCTCCTTGAAGGGCTACAGCTAAGACTTCTGGAACTCGCTAAGACTTCTCTTGTACAGATCTACAGATCAAACCCCTGCCACCTCCGGACCCTACGACAGTCTACTAACTGTTACAAATACATAGGTCGTGGGTTCAAGCCCTTGGGTCAACAAAGATACGGTACATCAGTAGGGTAAGGGCTAGGGATCGAGCCTTGGGGTCTGCATCTGCTATTAAAAAAAGTGAAAACCATTTCACTCCTGCCGTCCTAAATTCGAGGTCCTCCGAGAATATCTTAGTCCAAGGCAGGACCTTTACCCTTCCTATCACGCTCATAGGCCCTGATTATGTCGGGAGCTATTTCTAGAAGTTTTCTTCTAGTAAACCAGCGGTCGTCTTCTGTTTTTTTATAAGCAAACCAGACCTTATACTGTTTCTATGGACGACCATTACCTCCTGTCCTAAACACATCTTCATCTACAATGTCGTCAATGTCATATCTGCCATCCATTTCCGGGGGGATCATGGATCTTTTTGAAGGGAACTGTTGACTTGTGACACACGGCAACAGCTTTGAAGCATGGAACACCGGGTAGGTGTGGAGGTGTAGTGGAATCTCTATAGTGTAGGACGGTCCATCCTCTCCGCCCTTGACGAACCGGCCACGCTCCTCTATATGCAGGCAGTAACTTCAATGAGATGTTCTCCTCAGGTGCAAACTCTTTAGACTTGACTCAGAACAGGTCGCCTACCTGAAACTGCAATGGGCGACGGTGCTTATTAGTCTGTTCTATCCTGCGGTGCGAGGCCTTCCTGAGGTTTTCAACAACAGTTGCTAGCCCTCTCTCGTGCTGTATTACGAACTCTCTGGTATCGGGCAGTAGTCTGTGAATCCGATTCCGAGTAAGTCCTTCAATGGTCTGCGGGGTCTAAAGGACTTGTGTAACTCGTTGGGAGTGCGATAGGTAGATAAATGCACGTTGTTATTGTATGCCCTGGCTACCTTGGGCAACATCTCATCCCAATTGAATTGATCCGGTCTAATATATATGCGCAAAACTTGTTGCAGGATCTTGTTCATCTGTTCTGTCTGACCGTTAGTCTGTGGATGACGGCCAGATGACATTAACAACTTTAACCCATAGACTTTCATCAGTTCCTGCCAGTTCTCGCTGGTGAAGCGGGTGTCTCTATCACTATCAATAGACAAAGGAACCTCATAATCACTAATCCAATGATAAAAAAACTTCTGAATGACTAATTTCGTACGTGCCTCTGCAGGCAAAGGAACAAAAACTGCATATTTACTGAATCTATCAACTATGACCATGACTTGGCTCTTGCCGTGCCTACTCTTGACACCGACATCCATAAAGTCAATGGAAACTGAATCTCCAGGTTGGTCTGGGATAGGCAAGGGTCTGAGAAGCCTTAGAAGGGCACGCGTAGTGGTCTTGTTCCTCAGGCAAACTTTGCAACTGCGAACATACTCTATGCAGTCAGCTTTCATTTCTGGCAAGGTATATGTACGCATCAGATTGGCTAAAGTATTCTGCCAACCTAAGTGTTCCTCTTTGTCGTGGCATTCCCCTAGGATCAAACTATGGATTTCCTCTTTGTTGGGAATGCACAAGCGATCTACTACATTAGTCTTCTCAAACAATAGTCCTTTAGTAGTGCGGTGGTCTGGTTTGGTCTTTGGGGCCTCCTTAACTCTCTTGAGGAGGTCACTATAGATACGCCTGTCGGACTTTCTCTTCCAGGTCCTTCTCTATATCCAGATAGTATACTATAACTCCAAAGTAGTCTAATCTTCTACTTAGAGCATCCGCAACTACGTTGTACTTGCCTTTGACTGGTTTGAGCTCAAAGTCATACTGGTCTATCTCAGCGGCCCACCTCGCCAACTTAGGTGTCATTTTGGCCTGGGTCTTTAACCATTTAAGATTTTTGTGGTCAAAGTATACTTTGAAGTGTCTCCCAAGCAGGTAGTGCTTCCATTGCTTTAAGGTCTGCCTGAGAGCGTAGAGTTCTCTCTAATACGTCGAGGTGGCTACCTTCTCTGAGGGCATCCTCGCTGACATGAACTCTACGGGTCTATAGCCATTGTCGTCGTCTTGCTGCAACATGACACCTATACCATACTGGCTTATCCGTGATGACGACAAATGACAAGGACGGATCTGCTACCTTGAGCACAGGGTGCTCTATTAACGCGCGCTTCAGTTTCTTTAGCGCAGACTTACAGTCTTTATCCCACTGCCAGATTGACTATTTCTTGAACAACCTGCGCAAGGGAGCAGCGATAGTGAAGAAGTTCCTCACAAACTTCCCATAGTAGTTAGCTAGGCCTCGGAACGACCGCAATTCCGTCAATGTGCGGGGCGTTGGCCAGTCTCTTATTGTCGCTATCTTGCTGTCCTCAGGCTTAATGCCATCTCCGTCTAAAACGTGGCCTAAGTACAAAACTTGTGTTTTGGCCCACTCGCACTTCTTCGGGTATATCTTGAAGTTAGCCTCTCTTAGCTTCTCCAAGAATTGCCTCAAATGACCCTGATGCTCTTGGAGGGTCCTGCTGAATACTAATATATCATCTAAATAGACTACCTCAAACTTATCTAACCATGGTCTGAACAAATCATTCATACAACGCTGAAATATAGCTGGCGCGTTGGTTAATCCAAAGGACATCCCTATAAACTCATAATGCCCGTAACGAGTCCGGAACACAGTCTTGTACTGGTCATCAGGATGGACTTCTATCTGATGATAACCGGACTTCAAATCTATCTTTGAAAAATACTTGCAACCCTGCACCCGATCTAGGAGATCGTCTATCCTGGGCAGCGGCTCAGCATTCTTCACAGTAATCGCATTCAGACCCCTATAATCTATACACATGCACAACTCTCCTTCCTTTTTGGGGATAAAATAAACCAGTGTTCCAAAAAGAGACGAACTGGACTTAATCCAACCCTTCTCGAGGAACTCGTCTAACTGTTTGCGCAGCTCCTCTAACTCTCTAGGGTACATCATGTAGACTACGCCCTTAGGAGTTCTACTGCCAGGCTCTGTTTCTATTCTGTGCTGGATTGGTCGCGGCACCACTCCTGTCGGCGACTCAGTTAGGTCTCTAAACTCCTTCGGCAGCTTGGCAATGGTTGGATCCGTGGAACTATCCCCTTCCTTAGGCTCAGTGACAGGTCTGATATACACTACAAAGACCTGGTTTTTCAGTTGCTCCTTTTTCACTAGTCGCGCGAATGCGGGAGCACTGAGACAACACTGTGTCAGCGAGTTGTCTACTCCTGCCACATGGAACAAACGGGACGTCTTAACCTCGCCTGACGAACTAGGGAGCCTACACTCGTGCTCTCTCAAGTGGAGTGTGGCCCCTGCTGCCTCTCCCCAATCCATTCCCAAAACTATATCGAAAGGAAGGTCATCTTGTACGAAGAGAGTCTGGGAATGGAGAACTTTCTCCACCTTCCCATCTTTCTCTAGGCGAAAATACGCCTGGACTCCCTCTACATAGTCCTCAACACGCATCGCATGGTTGTCTGCGAGGACACTGACTATAGGGTCTTCCAATTTCTTGACCTTTAACCCTAGCCTCAGCTTCTTCAGCGCTCTACGGCTAATATAACTACGGGTAGCCCCTAAATCTATGAGGGTTCTTACTCTACTCTTAGAGACTTCTACGTCAACCAAGTTCAGTTGTCCCTTACTCTCCTTCTTCATTTTGACCCAGGTTGGCATTCTCTCATTCAACTCTTATGCCACGTTTGTGAGGGAAGTGCCTAGAGAGACGCTAACACAAGCAATCTCAGGACAGCTAGCTAGGCCCCGGCCTGCAACCTCTGCCATAGGCTCATGTGTTTTGGAAGTTTCCTGTACGCGCGCGCTCGCTTCCCCACATGGCCTTGAAGTAGGGGCAGTTGCGACCCCTATTTGTGGCTGCCTTTTGACTGTTGGGCAGCCCATCGGGCCTGTCTATACTTAGGACAAAATTTGATAACATGGGTCGGGTCACCACAAAACACGCACTGACCTAAGTTCACGCGTTCCTGCGATACGCGTTGGTCCAAACCCAAATCTTCCCATGGCCTGCCTTGCGGCAAGTCTGGGTGCCATCCTCCTTGAGGTGGCCTTCCACCTCGTCGCTGCAGGGACCGACAAGAACCTTGACGATTTGGCGGGGGACCTTGACCCCTACCTCCCACTTGGCAGTTCCCTTGTCCGCCAACCCCCTGTGCACCCGGTCCTCGGCCTCACGTGGCCTGGCCCCTTTGGCCCTGGCCTCCTCCTCTACCTTGCGGCCTCCCTCCAGCCGCGACAGCCGCGTAGGACCTCCATTGCCCTACACTGTTGTCCTCCTCCTCTAACCCCCACTCAATCTCACTGTAGGGGACTTCATCGGTACCACCCTCTTCTAACGTGAGGATCATGTGATCCTTGGCCCTGACTTGCTCAGAGATGGTACGCCCTTTCCACTTTTTCCCCTTATCCAGGTCCCAATGCCAGAAAGTGGATACTGGCATGGACTTCGACTCGAACAAGACTACCTCTCTACTCAATACATCATACGTGATGTCGGCCTGTTGAGATTTGTCAAAGAAATGCCCGCGCAGGGGCTCCGGCATGTCACAATAAAATAACTCGACCAACCCTAACCTCAGCTTCTTCAGCGCTCTACGGCTAATATAATTGCGGGTAGCCCTTGAATCTATGAGGGTTCCTACTCTACTCTTAAAGACTTCTACCTCAACCAAGATCAGTTGTCCCTTACTCTCCTTCTTCATTTTGTCCCTTACTCTCCTTCTTCATTTTAGCCCAGGCAGGCATTCTCTCCTTCAACTCTTATGCCACACCTGTGAGGGAAGTGCCTAGAGAGACGCTAACACAAGCAGTCTCTGGACAGCAAGCTAGGCACCGACCTGCAACCTCTGCCATAGGCTCATGTGGTTTGAGAGTTTCCTGTACGCGCGCGCTCGCTTCCCCATATGGCCTTGAAGTAGGGGCAGTTGCGACCCCTACTTGCGGCTGCCTTTTGACTGTTTGGCAGCCCATCGGGCCTGTCTATACTTAGGACAAAATTTGATAACATGGGCCGGGTCACCACAAAACACTCACTGACCCAAGTCCACGCGTTCCTGCCATACGCGCTGGTCCAAGCCCAAATCTTCCCATGGCCTGCCTTGAGGCAACCCTGGGTGCCATCCTCCTTGAGGTGGCCTTCCAGCTCGTCGCTGCGGGGACCGACAAGAACCTTGACGATTTGGCGGGGAACCTTGACCCCTACCGTTGGGTCACCAAATCTCTCCCTCGGGAGTTTGAAGCATTGAGGAAGGGGTGTGATCTTATAATATGCAACCAGGTTGTTTTCACAACCGGGTGCGCGCGCAAGGGACCTGGCAAAACTAGCCGCTTCATCCTTGAGGGTCTGGAAGGTGACGAGGACTTGCTCCTCAATCAAGATGTGTTGCAAGTATACATAACTATTTACGATCACTTCCCAGTTATCAAAATTCTTTTTTTTCTTCCCGCCATATGCATCTGGGAACTTAAGCTTGATGGGCTCTTTATGGGGCCTGGCCTCACTCTCAATAGCGGCTACTGCATTGGCACCCTCGATGGCGCCCTTGCAGAACTTCCCCACGTTGTCTCTCAACCGCCTGACTTCGCCTCCAACGTGGGTGACCATATCGCGTGCAAAGTCTCGAAATCCTGACCGCATGGCACTCAGGGCCACATTGTGACCCCAGTTGGCTTGGCGCTCCTCCATCCAAGCCTTACTCAACACTTCGAAGTACCCTTGCATCTTATCCATTTTCGCAGAAATGTCTGCCTGCGCATGCACCTCTTGTCTGCAGTCTTTCACCTTTGCCACCTCCGCGGTCAACCTGTTAACTTCCTCCCTCCTCATCTTTACCCTCTTCATCCTCAATTTCCACTCCAACTTCTTCTCCCAACGCATCCCTCTCATCATGCACCTCGTTCCAGGAGGTCCTCGATTGTTGCTAGGGCGCTGGCTAACGCATCCCTCTCATCCTGTGGCACATAGAATTGTGCCTCCTTATCTTCCCCCAACGATAAGTTAGCAATCCACTCATTAATCTTCTTCTCCATCGCTGCATCCTCATTTGCTGTGCCACTACTCTCTTCTTTTACTTCCTTGCGTTTTCTCTCCTCCTCCGCTTCTGCTGCTGCTTCTTCCTCGACAACCTTATTCTTCTCCTCCATCTCTTCTTCTAACTTCTTCATCTTTGTTGCCTGCTCCTCTGCGATTGCTTTCAGCTTCGCCTGCTCCTCTGCGATTGCTTTCAGCTTCGCCTGCTTCAGGAGTTCTTTCCTCTCCTTATTCTCTCTCACTAAGGTGGCAATCTTCTCTTGGTTCTCCTGGGTGTAGGGGCTAGTGCTCTTCCCACTACGGGTCTCAACCATGGTGACAAGTGCACAACCGGATTGACGGTTCCAAACCTCACCACGTAGACTCTAACCCCTGACTAACACAGACTGACTCAATCTAAGACTCAATGAATCCGGACAGGGATCCTGCCAACCAAGGTCTCTAACCTAGACCTATACTATGGCTGTCACCACTAGACCTGTTGCTGATCAGGAGGCATTTAAGGAGATCCCCTGTAACTCCTCAGGAATTATTTAACGTCGCCAACAGGACGACGCGATCAACAGGTCTCTCAACACTTAGACTGCCTGCTGCGCAGCCCAGAACTCAGCCTTTCGGGCCTACCGTGCAACACCGAGCAGCCCGCCGGTCTGTACCCGGTCCGGTCCTTGGGAGGGTTAGGCCTCCAGGACAGTCGAGTAGTCAGACACAGTCTTTAGCCCTACTTGGTCCGGCAGGGGTTTGGTCAACAAGGCCTATCCTTCATCCACAGAGTGCTATCACCTGTCCACAGAGTGCTATCACCTGGACATAAGAGACTCGATGCAAAAAGAAGAGACAGTCAGACTGGACTCAGCAAGTACCACAGGGTGTGTGCTCATCCATGGGGCAAGGGATAGGCTGAAGGCTTGGCGAGATTGTACCGGCTCCAGCTTGGTCAAAATCTTGGTCAACGCCAGTCCATGCTGCGGTCAACCCCTGGTCAACCCCCAGTCAACTCCGGTCAACACCTCCGATCAAGTTCTGGTCAACCCCAATCAACATCCGGTCAACGCTTGGTCAACTCTCCCAGTCAACTTCCCCGGTCGGCTATGGCTGCCTGCTTCACTTTCACTCACCAACCTTCTTCTTCCCTTCACCTTCCTCGCCTCCTTTCACCCCGGCTGTCTCCTTTCTTTTTTTTTTTTTTTTTGATCGTCTCTCTCTCTTCCTCTCCTCGGCTATTGCTTCTCTCTCCCTTCTCAGTCTCTCCCTCTGTCCACTCTCTCTCTCTCCTTTGCCACTCCTTGGTCAAACTCCGTGGCTATGGCTGCCTTGTGCTTCTTCACGGGACTGCACTTCACAGGTACGTAACAGCCAAACTTGTATCGCTCATCTCTCTCTCTCTCTCTCTCTCTCTCTCTCTCTCTCTCTCTCTC